CAAAAATTAAGCATGACAAGAAATCGGATTACAAAATGTGTAGCTGATTCGTCCTTTTAGACGCGCCTCAGAAGAAATGTTCCAATTTTTGTGAGAATGATTCACTATCTACCTATGGGGATTCTTGAAGGTTTTTTTTTTCTATTCTTGAAAGTTGGCAACACTCTTTTTCCCACCATTTTTCAACATTTAAATGTATGTTAAACAATGATTTTTCAAAGGATTTAAATGGAGAAAAAACAGTATTGCCAAATGCAAAATCGCAACTAAACCTACCGCCCTATGTGCCATTCAACCTCCTCGACAACTTACCAACTACCTTGCTTGCAAAATATATAATTTTTCCTCAAGTGATGGAGGGAAAAAATAAAGTTTCGCAGTAGAACGAGATTCAGCTTTCGGTTCGTGGTTTTGGAACTCGCAACTCATCATTATTCGTTTGTTTTTTTTATCTATTTATGCATTCATTTATTTATTTATTTTCATTTTTTTAGAATTTCAAGTCGTAGATGTTTTCCTTTTCTCAAACTATTAAATACACATTTCTTTTTCAATCCGGCATACCCATGGCACCGCCGTCTTAAGACCTTTAAGTATCACATATTATTGTCTTTTGAGGTTTCATTTTCTTTTCCCTGTAATTCACTTTTACGCGGAATTTTCATGACATTTAAATTGGTTTTCTCCACAAAAGTTTCTACTTTTCCTTTTTTTTAGCCTTGGGTGTCGCCTGTAATTTTTCCTCCAACGTTTTTCTTCTCTTTTTTTTCTCTCAATTTAATTGATAAACTCATCGCCAAAAGTAGTCACGCGCTCTAGCAATGCGGAAAAGTGTTCGTGTATTTGGCGGCTTGCATGTGCTGGGAACTCACGCTGCTTTGTTGTAGTTTATAAGACAATACTAATTCTCCTTGTCCGTTCCCCTCAGTTTTCGTGTGTAATTTTTAATGAGCGAATAGAGCTTGCAAATATTACACAGAACATTAATGTTATTATCTCATAAACGCCGCAATCACAATTGCGTTGTTCACTTCGCAAACGGATTCAAAGATGGGACGACTGCAAAAGCGCATATCTAGTTTGCGGTGTTTCGAAATTTTCGCTCTCATTTTATTGAACTGATTCTGAGGACGAACGAATATTACACGGAGAAATATGTTAATGTTACCAATTTCCTTATCCGATTTTATTTTAATTTATGCTAAAAGGAATTATGTGCAAAGAGTTTGCGTACGATATAGTTCCTTTTAGCATGTGAAGTCCATTATTTGAGACGACCGGAATTCCTGTATAGTGTCGTTGGGATTTTTGTTCCCATTACGAAAACCAGATTCCTATCGATACAAAGAGAATATCGTTTATTTTGATGAGGAAATATTAACACAACGTTACACGCAGAATCTATGTGAATAGTTCCTTTTACCATAAATACGTCCAATCTTCTCCATGTATTGCTTGACATTTTCACAGAACATTATTCTTCACGATCAAATGGAAAATCAGGGAATTGTTTCAGAAATATCTACACTTATCTTTCCATTTAAAAACTTAATTATAAGAGGAAGCACACAACGTCGCAAAGGGAGGTACGCGTTTTTGCAGTTTCGCCGTTCTTCGACGATTACTGGAATACGTTTAATTAAACCGAAGTATTCCAACCAATGACGTTCTTTTATCTCTGTTTGTAATTTTAATACAAGCGTCCAGTGGCGCGTGCGGCGTGCTTTGCGATATATCGATTGATCTGCCTCTTAAACCTGTGGAAAAGGATCGATAAACAGGGAGTTCGCAACAATCGCCTTATTAGTCGATTCTGTAACGTAGCTTCAAAGGGGGAAATATCGATAATCGATCGTTCTCGCCTCGCGTTAGTCGCGTCCAAATAGGGAAAACTTGAAGAGGCACCATAAAATTCAAATAATGGGGCCCTTGCTCGATTAGCTTGGAATTGATGAAGTCCTCATCGTTGCTGGCTTTACGCCTCAGCCTCTGGTCTCTCTTGAGTCTTGTACCCATAAAATCATTGCAATAATTGGTAAATTGCCGGTAATTTACGATTAACGTGGGCGTCTCGTCAGCCAGTATTTCTTAGCAGGATCGCCGCAATGTTGCCGCATCTCATCGTCCAACTTCTTCGTGTCACTTCATGGAGAGTGTCTAGCATCAGGAAAAACCGGAAAATATCAGGAATATTGGCCGATCAGGAAAAAATCAGGAAAATACCAGGAAAATCGGAAAAATCGGACGTTTTATCAGGAATGTTTCTAACGCAAATCTCCTCAGCGGAGAAAGTCTTAATGCCTTTTGCCTACCATGCGAGGAGTCGAGAAAAATCAGGGAAATATCAGGAATTTTCAAAATGAAAAAATCAGGAATTTTTTATAAAATATCAGGAAAAATCAGGAAAATATCAGGAAAAATTAGGAAAATATCAGGATTTTTCAAAATTAAAAAATATTGGACACCCTGTCATGCCTCCGCACGTCCATCGTGAAAAACGGTGTTCGGAACCCACCGTTGAGTTTCAGGAGCCATTTGGCGCATCAAGCTCGCTTTTTAGGGGCCGTTGAAGATTTTTTAGGGGCCAAATCGACTTTTTGCCTAATATCACGGCGCACTTAGTGAAAAGTTTGACGCAAGATGTTATAGTTACATAACTGGTAACTGTGACTTAGAGGAGACGTCAAAAAATTTCCAAATAGAAAAAGTAGGATTTATTTTTTTGGATTGGGGGGGGGGAAGATCTGTTGAGACTTTCTCCTTAGGAAAATGCTCAAAATGAGCGAATTTTAATTTACAAAGCCTGGCACCAGTGGAACTTTAAGTGGTAAATAATTTGAAAAGACAAGACGGAGCTTTTTAAAACTTTGACGTTTCGTGGCGTTACAACCTCCTCCTTTAGTCGTCAGAAATGCTATGTCATTTCATTGACAACTTTTGATTGCAATTTGTCACTGCAAGCGCTCAACTACTGAGAAAGGTCTTTTGCGCGAGCGCTTATGGCTGTATTATAAATGTTAGGAATGAAGCCGCTCGGTTGAAATTCAAACAACCGACTTCTGGTTGAATTTTTCGCTTCGACGAAGAATTTATCAAAGGAACTTCTATTGCTTTAAATGCTTCTACTCGATGAGCCGAGCCAACAGTTTTTTTTTCAATTTTTTTCTGTTTTGGGAAATCGGAGAGTGACATTTAAGAGCGAGAAAATTTTCCGCCCTTTGACGTCATAAGGCGGCATTTCCCATTTAGATTAGATCATTTTGTGGTAACGCACCCACAATCATTATTCAATTTAGAAACGGAGAATATGCTCTCGTGCTGAGTTCACTCAGTAATTTCCATTCATAAATAAAATTAATGAAATTTGTACCACCTGGAAATTCTTCAAAGGCACAAATGTGTCGTTTCGTAATTCTCTAACATTGCGTTTGTCGGCAATTCCGTAACAATTGCGTGAGTAAGCATGGACAATATACATATGGGACCCAGAAGCATCCCTTGTCCGCAGTATCTCACGGAATACTGCCGCGCTAATCAGGAATGACGCCGTATGAGCCTTCAAGCGTTGTCAAATTTCCTCGGATAAAACACAAATTTCCTGGTAAACTTATGAATATTTTCCTTCCAATTTATTTGCTCATTTTTTTGGCGATCTCACCTGAAGTTCCGGAAAATTTCCAGCACTGGAAAAAAAACCACATTGGATCCAGAGTCCAGACTCTTAAAAACATCGACAAGAAAAAGTACTCTTGATTCAATCAGAATGTAGCTTAAATCCAGAACCAAGCCTCTTAATCTAAGCGGATTTTGTTTTGATTCAAGCAAAAATCCGATTGAATCAAGAGTATTTTTTCTTGTCAATGTTTTTAAGGGTCTGGACTCTAGATCCAATGTGTTTATTTTCCAGTGAGGGGAAATATTCATAACTTTCCTCAAAAATAAACATGTTATCGAAGAAAATTTGGCAACTCTCGAATGCTTATACGGCGTTCTTCCTTAGGACGGTAGAATACGTGGCTCCCGTGACGTGTCGGGCGGATCTGGATCGGTACGTGAGCCCTGCGCTCGGTGTCACTGGATGGTAACTGGGGCTCATGTTGAAATAGAGATATGTACTCCCGCCCCGGAGAAGCGACGAATAGAGTGAATGATCGCGTGTGAGCACCGTGACCCAGACTCCTGAGAGACAGTCTAGAGCAGATGTCCATTTGTTCCCCTTCAAAGGGATCGGATAGACCACCTGTCGTGCAGCCCATTTAAGGTTTCCTTCGATAGCCTATCGAGTCCCTTCCATCCCGTCCCCGTCCCTCTTCTCTTACCGTCCGGTCCTCCATGTTCTCGAATCTTCAAGAGCCTCCTCATTCGGCCAAATGGAGAATTTGCATGCAAATTTTTTATCGCTTCATCTTAAATTGCTGGAAAAGCTGATTTCACAGTATTTTTTATAATTTTTTCTGGTATGGGAAAAAGTGTAAAAATCGATTTAAAAGTGAGAAAATGCACCGCCTAGTGACGTCATCTGGCGGCATTTACCATTTAAACACACGTAGATTCGATCATTTTGTCTTATCTTCTCCAATAATTGTTCAGTTCATGAACCATGGGTATCCTCGTGTTCAGTTCTTTGTAGTTTTTGATGAACACAAAATTCATCAAATTTCAGACACCTGCAAATTCTCCATTGGGCATATTTCTAGTGGGTTAGTTTAAATTGCGCTGGTCATAGAATCGTGTTTAAATGCTTGATTCTTGTAGGTTAGCTGAAAATAATGAGATTCGTCCAAACAGCAACGCCCTACGTTCAATATTCGTCATTTCCAAATTGAAAATAAGTAAAGTAAGTTTCCAAGAAACGTTAGTCCATTCCAAGGATGCTAAATTGACTTGAACAATTCAATGTTTCACAAGAATCCACCTCAGTGCAATTTTCCTTCAAAATGTGTGTGTATTTAATATTAATTTAAGTCCCTCAACAACTCCTTTCTCTTGATTTGTTTCAGATTAGCTGCACCTTACACCATCACTCTTTTACGTATAAAATGCGGTAAGCAATAAATATTTGTATTTAATACTAACTTGAACAGTGTACAAATTAAAAGGTTTCAGCTCCGAGTGGAGTTTCTTTCGGAATAAATGAGAATTGGTATCCATTTTTCAACGTAAGATGAAGAAGAGTAATACATTGTGCATGGCTAAAAGACGAAATATCTATTTTTTCCGAGCTAGGCAGTTTTCAAAGGAAGCCATTCATCAATATTTCTGTGTTCAAACTTCTCTTGCTTTCGCCCCGATCCCTCCCCCTAAATGAGGGAAGTTTCACCTTCGAATCTAGGCGGCCGGGCGAGTGAAGCCAAAAAACGTGTATGAACAAGAGGGTTCATAATCAACCACAAATCGATGAAATTCTTTTCGTAATGAGTACGGTACCACCAACGAAATGTTGCCAAATCCCCGAAATAGGACGCATTATGCATATTGTTATTCACCACGATTTGCTGAATACCTGTGAATCACTTAAATCTATCCATTTTCCTAACTCTGTCATGAAAGAGTATCTACAGGAGCCGCCCTCAAATGACGTCAGTAACTTTTGGAGCATTTTCAACCCCTCCTCCTCCTGCCCTTTTATAGATCCCCTTGTCTAGCAGTCTCACAATTAGACTCGAGTTTAATATATGAATTAATTTAATTAATTAATTTGACGTGCAAGTGAGTCTTTTTTTTAAAAAAAATTTCGATCATTTTCTTGTGCGGCCTCCAAGGCGAAAAAGTTTTTCAATTTTTTCGTTTCATTTTCGTTAATAAAACGAATTTATCCTCAATTTTGCCAGTGCCTTAGATCCGTGCGTTATGTCTCAATTATAAGCCTGCCTTTTCTAAAGTAATCGCAAGTAACGCGGGGCGGTCTAGGAAACCTGCAGATCAATTCAGAAATCGATTTTGCAGAATCGTTATCGAATGATCCCGATCGATAAATCTCTATCTTAGCAATGCTTTTTATCGATCAAGGTCATTCGATATCAGTGGCGTGGCGTGAATTGCGATGTATCGATTGTTATGCCATTTAAACCTATGGTAAAGAATCGATTATTAAGGTGTTCGCTGATCCTTTTCCGTAGGTCTAAATGGCATAACAATCGATACAGCGCAAAGCACGTCACGCCACTGTTCGATATCCATTCAAAAATCGAGTCGCTGGTAAGTCAGGGGGTTTGAAAATGAAGAAATTATGCGGAAATCCTGCCAACGTGTTTAAGTTATTCGGACTTGATCGCAAGCCATTTTCCCTTTTCTCATTCGAGTGGTAGATAATTCATTTACTTTTTAGAGCAAAGCTTTGGAAAGTTCGCTAAATGTGACAACCCCGCGGTTTCGCGCCCCCGACGGGCATCATCAAAACGACGCCGCGTCGTTGATCGGTATACTGTTTTGCTAAGGGAAAAGGCCGTCTAAACATTCGAGAGTTGCCAAATTGTTCCTAACAAAATGCCAATTCATAAGGAGAGTTATAAATATTTTCTCTCGAAATTTTCAGATAATTTAGATCTGATTGCGGGTCAAATTCTCTGAAAAATTGGACGAAAAGTATTCTGAGATTTCCCTAAAAAATCGTATTTTATCGAGGGAAATTTGGCAACGTCTGAGGGTTTATACGGCGTTTTTCCTCCGAGCTCTATACTATCAAGTATCACTCCCTCTCCGATTAATTTCGCCGTCGAAACCCAAACCCGCGGAGCTCAGAAAAATCAAATGACTCCTCGGTCCGAACGCGGATTTCCATCGAAAGTTGTAACAAGCCCGCTTCTCAGTCGCGCGAAAATTAACCCGAAGCTCGCTCCAAAACCTCTAAATCTGTGTCCCTTCTTGCATTCACTAAAACTCACCTAGTAAATGTAAGTGTTCTTTCCTTATCAGATAGATTAGATCTTCATTTGAATCAGTGAGTTCGAAAAAACACCAACTCGGTAACTCGAAATTGCTCAATTTTCATAAGAGACGGTCAATTAATTTGTATAAAAGTCATTAAAGTTAGCATATCTGTTCCAACTTGGACCTTTGAAATGCCCTTAAGTGTTTGTATTTCGGCACCAAAAATCTCTTTCTTAGACTAATTTCTTCATTTACCGTTCGGTTTTGTGTGTGTCTTGATTCTTTTCATTTTTCCGAGTTGGTGTGTTTTCGTTCTCACTGATTCATTTATGATTTTCATATGATTGAGCTAAGTTCTCGAAGTTCGATCTCGGTTTGAAACCTCAACAGAAGGGATGAAAGCCAGGTCTGCGTAGCATCGAAGCGCGATGAAGGAGGTATGATAAATGCTCTATGAAATTTAAAATAAAATATAGGGAAAAAAATGAATTAGTTTACAATGGGGTTCAAATGATTTCTTGAGGAAGGCGTGACATTTCTATCAGAAGGCAGATAATCTGGAGGATGAAAATCATTCAGGTTGGATTCAAATTTAAAATATGAGTGACGTTGACTATTTTTCAAGGGTAGTTTAGGATTAATGGTAAAATTGTAATGTAAGAATTTTAAATTATTCATTTATGTTTCAGTATTATTTTATTTTTTTTTTTGTCTTTACGTTTTGTAAGTATAAAAAAAGGATCTATTAGGACTATCCGTTTTTCTGAATGTTACATTATGTAATTCAGATAAGTACATTTTATCTCCCAGCTTTGATTCTTCGCACCCGTTCGAATATTCAAATTAAGTCTTCTTCCATTTTTTCTCTTCTTTGCACACACTATGGAGTACTTTATATTGACGTGTTTTTTTGGATGTCTGAACGGCAAGCATACACATTAAATGATCGGAATGTTCTCTTTCCATCTGCGACAAGATTTATTCTTCTTTTTCCTCTCTTTTTTATGAGAGAGCTTAATCCTTCTTGAAAGGATCGTACTTTTCATCTCTAAGCAATCATTTCTGAAGATATTTATAATTTAGTATGTTTTTCCTTCTTTCTCTCCTTTTTTTTACTAGCTTTGTACTTTTCTCCCTCGTTCTTTCAATTTTTTGCTTGTGTTGAATTGTTTTATTCTATTTTTGTCTTTATCGAATGAGTACCCCGATGTGTAAAAAAGGTACTACTATTTCGTCGGAATTGTAGAAGGAAAAATAATTAGAAAATTGAAATTGATGAGTCGAGGAACTTCTCAGTTTTCAGTCACAAGTTCGTGGCAGTTGTGTGCACCTAGATCCGCTTTACCTCTTCGGAGTCCTTCATCTCAAAAGGATTTTTAACGAGTGTTCTTTAAAACGTGAAATATTGAACATGTTTATTCCGTGACTTCAATCAATGTTAAAAAGGACTACACTTAAGTAATGCACTTAATTGGAATTATTTTTAAAATAGTGTGAAGTTGCTGCAGTTGTGCTAATTTTGACAGTTTTTTTGTTTTGTTTTTTAATATGATAAATAGAATTGTGTAAAAAATCTCGAACAACAGGTACGCACCTAAAGTCCCAACGTACTTAATTTTAAATATTTATATATATAAAAAAAAATTAAAGCACAGTTGAAAATATTGTCGGGAAGCCAGTGAACATTTTTTCGTTATAATACCCTCTTGAACATGCTCAAAGAAAGCTTGAAAAACATTTTCGCAATAATTCTGACAACAAAAACATTATGACAATATTAAAAGTACTTTAAATAAATTGCTACAGTATTGTTGATTCCGGGGGTAAGACTAGGGCGTAGACTCGACAGTCAAAAGGAGAAGTAGAAAAAATGAGCCAGTTCTTGAAATGAAATACACTGGGAAAAAAACACCTTGGATCTAGAGTCCGTACTCTTAAAAACATCGAAAAGAAAAAATACTCTTGATTCAATCGGATTTTTGCTTGAATCAAGAACCAAGCCTCTGAATTTGAGCGGATTTCCTTTTGATGTAAGCAAAAATCTGATTGAATCAAGAGTATTTTTTCTTGTCAATGTTTTCAAGAGTCTGGACTCTAGATCCAATGTGTTTTTTTTTATCCAGTGCATGGATTCCCCCATTTTTCTCGTCCTCACATGTGTTCCTCCATTCACGCGAACGGCCGGTCGCGTGGTTGGGAAATTTCTACACCCCTGACTTGAGTGGGAGGAACATTCCTTCGGAACAACGCTTTTGTGGATTTTCAATGACGTCAACAAGGATTCCCGCGCGAAAGTGAGAAAATCGGGGACCGCGTGCGGGAGAGGAAAAGGCAGGGCGCCAAAAATCCATCGGCTTCCGCTTGGAATGGATCCTGTTTCCTCGTCGAATCAGCGCTGAGGGCAGGGTTTTCCTCGAGCGCGTTATTCAGTAGTTTAGGCGGGCAGTGGCGCGGCGGCGGCGTTTATCTAGGCATTAACAGTTTAATTACGGCTATCGGTTAATGGTCGCGTGCTGCCATGCGTCCAGTTTCCTGCTCAGGGCGTTGCCGCATCCCCTCGAATCCCCCCGCCTGACACGCCTCCCGCAAGCCCCGATCGGAAATGGAGCTGCGACGTGGCAACCGCGCATGGCGCCTCGGCCCTCGTTTGAACTTGACCGTGGAAACGCACTGTGTCGGGCTTTGAGCAGTGCTTGCAACATTTCGTCCTTTCCCAGACCGAGGAACATAACTCCATTCTCAATTTGTAAAATTTACGCTACTTATTATTACCAAAATATACCTGTTCAATTCTCGTCTGAAACTTCGATAACATTTGCGTATGATTAGAAGAAAAATCAGTGGAATTTTCAGTCAGTGGATGCCCAATACTGTCGTGCTAGGGAAGAACGCCGTATGAACATTCGAGAGTAGCCAAATTTCTTTCGATACAATGCTCATTTTTTAGGGATGTTCACTGGAAAAAATGATCTCCTAGAACTCTGATCGTCAACATGGATTACCGAAGTATTTTGGTATTATGAAGGTAGATGAAATATTGCAACGTCGGAAAAGGAACTTGACCGGTTGGAAGCCCTGAGGCCGGGGATTGACTCATGTCGACTATAATATGTAAAGAACAGATAAGGGGTATATATTGAATATTTTTGCAGTTAATTCATTGCTTCTGGCGAT